AAAAAGGACATCAGAAACCCACCAGCCTTTGATGTATATTCAGACAGATGTCGTAAATCTCTTAATGAGTAAATGGCAACATTTTAATCAACAGCATGAGAATGAAATATGCAAAACTGCTTAGCTTTACTTGAAATAGATTTTGTTCTAACAAATCGCAGCAGGAACAGGTACTCAGTGGTCACCTCTATCAACTATCATCATTTAAGCAGCTCAGCAGTGCTTCTAAAGTTTGTTCTGTTGGGTTGGTTGGTTAGTTTGATGGCATTGTGTTGTTGTTTATTAAAAAAATTTGATTTTTATTAATATTCTTTGACACTTTCATATCTGCATGCATATATATGTAAAGTATTTTGATCATATTCATGACCATAACTCTCTCTTATCTTCTCTTATTACCACTGAACACTTTCTGCTTCCCAAGCCCTGTTGTGCTATAGTTTCTGCGATATAATGTTGCTGTGATAAAACATTCTGACAAAAGGGTTTATTTCATCTTATACTTTCAGGTCATGGTTCATCATTGAGAAAAATTGGGGCAAGAACTCAAGTCAGGAACCTGAAGAAAGGACTGTGCTATTCCATGCAGTATGACCCATGAACAGAGAATTTACTCATTTACAAGGAAGTACAGCTTGATAGCTTATTCTCAGGCTGATAGTTAGCTAGCTTTACTACACAGCCAGTATTACTTGTCCCAGGAATGTTCAACATCAGCTTAGACCTCCTCTATCAATTAACAATAAAGATAATCTGACACAGACATGCGCAAAGGCCAACCTGATCTGGGCAATCTCTCCAGTTGTGGACTTCCTTCTCACGTCACTTTAGGCTTTGTTCAGGTGATGGTTAAAGATAACTAAGAGAACCTTTTTTTTTTTTTTTTTTAAGAACCATTGAGTTTCATTAGGATTGCTTGCATGAACATTAGTGGGAGGCTATTTACTGGCTCATCTACAGCTTACCAAAGGTTAAAATACAAAAGAAAAATGACTTCCACTTCCTTGGCAGAAATTACTAGTAACTCCTTGAGAATGGGCAGAGCCTCATGAAGCCCTCCCCCATCATGACGGAATGTTGACAGCCCAATTTTTTGTGTAAGTCTTGTGCAAACAACCACAGCTGCTCTTGTTCATCAGTGCAATAGACACAGCCTGCCCATAAGAAGCATTTCTCAGAATTTCTCCCCATCTACTGAATCTCAAGGTTCTCTGTCTTCTCTTCTACCATGTTTCCGGAGCCTTTGAGGGGGTGACGCAGATGTCTTGTTTAAGGATGAACACTCTGCCATCACTTGTTCGTAGCATTGTGGTTATTTATGAGTCTATGCATTAACTGTTTCTCAATGCAAAAAAGAAGCTTATCTGGCCAAGGCTGAGTATGGAATCAATTTCTAGGTATAAACATAAATAGTTGGAAGGCAAGTTGACAGCATGTTCATTTAGCAAAATAGCAGTAGGTCCCCCCGTAAGGCATATGACTTCTTTAGCTTTGGGCTACTGATCCTGTCTATGGTACCATAAATTCTTTACTCCATTTGGACCTCAAATGCAACCAGAAAGCCATTGCATACTCATATAAAAGCCATGCCACTAATGTATCTATGCTGATTGATTTTTTTTTTTTTGGCAGCTCATAACAAACTAGAGTTATGTGGAAAGAGAAACCTCAAATGAGAAAACACCTGTAATCAACTCTATAATGTATTTTCCTGATTAATGTAGAAAGTCCTAGACCAGGAAGGGTGGTGTCATTCCTTGGTCAGTGGGCAGTAATCTATAAGAAGCAGGCTGAGCAAGCCATGAGGAACAATCTAGCCAACAGCATTTCTCCATGGTCTGCTTCAGTTCCTACCTCCAAGTTCCTTACCGTTTGAGTTCCGGCCTTGGCTTCTCTTACTGATGGACTGTGATCAGGACATATAATTCAAATAAACCCTTTCCTCCACCAAGCTGACTTTGGTCATGGTGTTTATTCCAACAATAGAAAACAAACTAAGACAGCAACAGTGGTCATATCTTGCCTGGAGAGTCACTGTTTTTGTATACAAAGTCTACCTCTGGGTAAGACCTCTGATGACTGTTCTCTCCCTGCTCTCTGCACAACACCTTCCCATACTATGAAAGCTAACCAACAAGGAAGAAGCTTAGAGCTCACTTCCAGACTGATTTCTCTGTGTCCTACAGCTATGTGGTGTCTTCAGCAACAGGGTCTTGCTTTATAGTTCTGGTAAACAAGCAAGAGTATTGGCCATAGTTTGATTTTTAAGCTCCTTTATCAACAACTGATGGAGACCAGAAATTGGAAACATTCAGTACCAAGGGATTCTGCGTTTGGCATTATCTTTCATTTCATTTTCTTTAATTTCTAATAAAAATGGTAAGCCCAACTTCTAAAGATGGCTAATTTCTAGAGACTGATTTCAGTGAAAGGAATATCATTAATACCATGCCAGCATCTACTAGAGATTCTAAGTCAGTCAGTCCTGCTTTGTCTGATACTGTGGTCACTACCCACATGTCTGTGTATGGATCTAAATTTGAATTACCCCAAACTCTCAAGTCAAAATTCAGTTCCATATATTCACCACACTTCAAGTGCTCAATAACAGATATAAAACATTTCCATCAGGGAAGAAAATTCTATTGGTACTGTACTCCAAAGGCAGAAATGAAGGCATGCCTGTGTTGTGTAGGTCCCCAAGTCTTTGTGATTCCAGAAGCTTACCATTTAATCTGACATTGAGAAGTACAAAAATGATGATACAGTGAATATCCAGAACCTGTCAGGGACCAACCTCATTGCCAGAAATGGTTAACTATTGTTTTAGCTCCTTTGTCTTAAAAACATGCTTTTTTGTAAAATGAAATATGTTTCTCTTCTTGAAAAAATTAATACATAAAATCCTCTTGTGTGATGTTGAAATAAAGTGTCTTAGGGTTTCCATTGCTGTGAAGAGACACTATGACCATAGCAACTCTTACAAAGGAAAACTTTTAATTCAGGTGATGGCTTACAGTTCAGAGGTTCAGTCTGTTGTCATCATGATGGGGAGCATGGCAGCATGCAGGCAGACATGGTGCTGGCTACATCTTTTTGTTTTGTTTTGTTTTTGTTTTTGTTTTTGTTTTTTTTTTGTTTTTTTGAGACAGGGTTTCTCTGTAGCTTTGGAGCCTGTCCTGGACTAGTTCTGTAGACCAGGCTGGCCTCAAACTCACAGAGATCCACATGCCTCTGCCTTCCGAGTGCTGGGATTACAGGTGTGCACCACCACTGCCCAGCATTATTGCATTCTTTTTTTTTTTTTTTTTTTTTTCTTGAGACAGGGTTTCTCTGTGTAGTTTTGGTGCCTGTCCTGGATTCCACTCTGTAGACTAGGCTGGCCTCGAACTCACAGAGATCTACCTGGCTCTGCCTCCCAAGTGCTGGGATTAAAGGCCTGAGCTACCATCACCTGGCCTGCTGGTACTCTTGATCAGAAAGCAATAGGAAATAGTCTCAAACACTGAGCAGTATCTTGAGCATGGGAAACCTCAAAGCCCACCCCAACAGGGACATACTTCCTCCAACAAGACCACACCTACTCCAACAAAGCCACACCTCCTAATAGTGCCACTCCCTATGAGATTATGGGGGCCAATTACATTCAAACATTAAGGAAATTAATATATCAATCAAACCAAGAAAACAGAAAGCACTTACCATTTCTTTATGACAAGAACATTAAAATTTTTCTCCCTTAGCTTAGTGTGGTGTTTTTTGCTTTGATTTTTGATACAGGGTCTCATATAGTTGGCCTGTGACTATGTAGCCAAGGATGGCTTTGAACTCCTGCCCTTTCTGCCTCCTCCCAAGTGCAAGGATTACACGTATTCACCACAATTTCCATCCAGAGCGCATCATTATCATCTACAGTTACTATATATGCAAAAGAATGTCTATCTAACTGTAACCTTTCTAGCTATAACCTCACTGTGACTTAGGACCTGTTGACCTGTCTTTCCTCAACCCTCCTTTCTCCTCAACCAGTTATCAGTCTCTGGTAACACTGGTGAGTTTCTACTCAAACTTCTAGAAACGCAGTATTTACATAGGCCCAGCTTGTTTAACACAGCATAATGTCTACCAGGTCCAGCTACATTTCTGCTAGTTAGCACGCAGACCTTAGTCCACACCTAGACTCATGTTCTGCTTTCAAACTGTTCTAAGTGTTGCATGCCCTTTCTAATCTACTCATCTTTCAAAGACCATTTCAGGGCTTGGCTGTTACCAAACCTTTCTCAACCTCTGTCCTAGTCACTTTCTCTCTTCCAAATGCTATAGTACTTATAATATTGCAAATGTACCATACTGTGTTTCTTTGAAAAGTGATAGGATTCACTAACCATGAATTAATTATATTCTGCCTCTTCATTCCCATTCTTATTTAATCTGTCTTTAAACTGACATGTGAACTTCTTCCATCAAGATGGGAACATTGATGCCCCCTCACCCCTGGAGAGATCTTTCAGTATTACTCTTGGGGAAAAGGTACCAGGTACCAGCATACAGCAGTCACCCTGACCTGTATCATTCTGGTTTTCTAGACTTCCTATTACCCACTGAGGTTTTCTGTGCTGTGTATCACTGTCCTGGCCATACTGCCCCCATAGCAGAAACCAGAACTCTAACTCTGTCTCCATTCTCCAAAATTGAGCTCAGTGAAGAATTTCTCCAACACTTTTTGATTGATATGAAGCAATTTCTCCATTTTTGCTTTGAAAAACTTCATTTTCAGAAGGTCAACATCCCCCTTCCACAGAGATTATTTTCTCTGCTTTTCTTCACTTACCTAACCTTAGTATCTGATTGCTTTGTGAATGCATAAACTTTGCAAATCAACAATAGAACTTAGATTTCTTGGAAAATTATGATCTCGTCCCATTTCCTCCCACTCACCACCAGCATATCCCCACAAAATCTCTCCTTATTTCAAATAAATGACAAATGAATAAAATTACCTGGGATGCATGAAATACATCTCTGGATTTCTGGACACCTTTTTCCTGCTTGTCTTCACAAAGTTCCTGCCTTGGCTTCTCTTACTGATAAGCTGTGATCAGGACATATAATTCAAATAAACCCTTTGAGTACACAATGCATACATGTATTTAAGCAATATCATATAATAATATGCCAACTACATACATGGGCAAAAATTTCTACTTCCAAAGACCACCAACCAAGCACTGTTGTGACTGCATTGCAAAACCCCCAAGCAAGACCACCACAGAGCCGATATCCGAAGCAAAACACACAGGGGTTTATTACAAGCCCGGGCTTGGTTCGTGTCCAACACACTGGCTAGCCAGGTAAAGGAGGTGAGCCCTGAGCTCTCAGGGTGACGGGTTTTTAAAGGCAAACACCTCAAGCAGTGTGGTACAAACCTTGGCATTATATGATTGGGTGAGGGTGTGTAACCTTTGAATTTACTGGTTTGGGGTTACAGTTATCATTTTGGGGGCAGGCCTGAACAAGTCCCAGGCTTTGTCCTTGAGCTGCCATGAGGGCTGGCTGGCCTAGCACGTACTGATTGTGGGGGCTGACTCAGTGGCCCAGGCTCTGTCCTTGAGCTGCCATGAAGGTTGGCTGCCCTCACACGTTCACAGTGACCCATGCACGTAGCTCTAAGTTGGTGAGGGGTCCCAGACAGTAAACAACTGGCTGAACCTTGAACAATCAGAGTACATGCAGAAAGGGAGCTACTGCAAGGACTATGTCTTATGTTCATGGCCCTCCCAGAAACTGCTTGCTCAAGTCCCAGGAAACTGAAATTGAGGCCTGATCTCTGAGAGAAGACTGAGCAGTCTGTTATGGCATCTGCTTGGTCCTTTCAGCACAAATCTACTAGATAAGATTGATTTAATGAAGTGAAGGAAAAACCATGGAAAGCCAAGATAGAAAAAGGAGAGCTTTCTTAGGGTTTTGGAGCTCTGATGATTCTGAAGACAGTCTAAGAATGTCCAACCTTTTCACCATGTGCCAGATGATTCCATCTATAATGTTCATGTGCAAGAACCATGCACATTTGTCTTAGGCTATACCCATAGCTAGCCTGGGCTGCGTGTGGCCTCAGGTTAAATGTGTTTGCCAGGGAAGCTGGGATCTGTTTGGGTTCGGCTGCTGTTTTTTGAAGCTGGATTAGGACAGGTAGGAGTTTAACTAGGATTCAGGTCAAGACTAAAGGTGGTGTAGTGAGATTAGATATCCAGCAATACCGGAAAAGAACCAAATGGATCTTGGGGACCCACAAGTAAAGAATCTATAGAGGTGGTACATGAGGATTTCCTTCCTCACTGCCATCTTTCCTCTCTCCCTTCTTCCCCCTTTTTTTTCTTCTTTCATCCATTGGATCCAACCCAAGTCTTTGTGCATGATGGGTGAGTACCACAGCCTTTTTCACTGGATTGTTTTAGCTGCCAAGTAATGTGGGAAGAAAGTGTGCTTCTTCCTAACGTCCTCTACATCTGTCCTCCCTGCTCCAGTGACAACCTGAGTCAGTATGCACTCCTCGACCTTGCACAGCTTTTATTTTAGGTAGATAGCTTTTGCCCCAGGGTAACGACGTTAGGCACTCTGAGTAGTACCTAACATCATTTCATATTTTAAAATTCTCAGCACAGTCCTTAAGGTGGAACCTTTAAGGTGGAACTCAGAGCCAGCACTGCCACCCACAATGCCAAGGCCATGCCAGCTAACCTGTCAATGCCGCACTAGGAGCAGAGGTACATGTGAGGTGGTAAAGCAGCGATGTTCAAATCCTAGACACTTTTTTTTTCATAAGCAAATTGTCAGGCAGGTTATTCTGAAATTGTCAACCTTCAGATAATTTTAGACATGATGTACAAACTTCCCAGATGAGCTCATGGGGTCAGAGGACCTTCTTCCCAGGGCCTCTAGCCCTTAGGTCATAAAATCAAGCTTCTTCAAGGAAGCCAAGAGAGGTCAGGCCTCATAGAGAGGTTCTGGAGAGACTCATGGAAGCAAAACATGTGTTGTATAATTCCTCATTCTTACAGTTGCAGAGTGGAGTTATTTCATCTGTCAGCTGTACAGCCCAGGAGATAAAATGAGTTCTGGAAGGTGAGGTTTTATATCTGAGACACTGCCTGCTTTACCAAAGTGGTGATGTAAGTCATTTTCACTGAGGTGGTGAGGCATGCTAGACAGAGTCCCTCTCATGGTGCTGTGTAGCCTCTGCCCCTACTGGTTAGTATTCACCTCATTTCTCTGTTTTCAGTTTGTGAGTGCTCTGACATCTACCCTTGGGTTCTTCAAAACCAATGCTTTTTTAGGGTGACCACTTGTCCCTTCATTCTGCTCTCAATTACGTCTATCATCATTTAACAGGAAGGAACCTCTACACTCTGAGGAATATGCTTGAATTTGGGTCTCTTAAATGCTCTAGAGACCCAGAGTGCCACTCTGTATGAATGGTCAGTCTACAGCAACCTCTGCAGATCCTAAATCTAAACACAAAAGAAGCATCCAATTTTGTTGGGATGAGACCAGGGTCAATGATTACCACATACAATTTATTTATTTATTTATTTTTAAATTTATTTATTATGTATACAATGTTCTGTCTGCATGTATCCCTGCAGGCCAGAAGAGGGCACCAGATCTCATTACAGATGGTTTTGAGCCACCATGTGGTTGCTGGGAATTGAACTCAGGACCATTTGGAAGAACAAGCTGTGCTCTTAACCTCTGAGCCATCTCTCCAGCCCCTACCACATACAATTTAAAGCTAAGGAGAAAGGAAAGACTCAAAACCAGCAGCTCTTTGCTAAGATCAGAATTCTGCAGGGTGGAAGCTTTAAGATCAGAATTCCTTTTCCCTCACTCAGAAAACCAATCAGGAATGGTTAGGAAGCTAGTATCTAAACTTCTGCCTGAGAAGGTGAGCTATTTTGTTCTCTTTGTTTCTCCAAACAACTAAAAGCTCTTGATGTTTATGCATGTGCTTCTGACAAATCAATCTGGTTGTGGTTTTGGTCTATCTGCCTTCTATGCTCATGAAAAAAAAAAAAAAAAAAAAAACAACTGAGCAGACACTTCTACAGAACACATACCTTTTTGTTTTTTCTTCTGTGAGAGTGTTGCTTGCCTGAAAACCTTGCTGAGTAATGATCTGAGGTCCTTGGGAAATGGCCTACCTGCTGCTGTTTACACACATGCTTATGCTAATGTAGAGTAACATAATGGAGAAGTCTTAGGACTTTAGCTGCTTGTGATGCCTTTTACTAAAATGTAAAATAAACATGAAATCAGAGAACCAAAAAAAAAAATCATAAAGTAATCAAGAGAAAAGGAAATTAACATTTTAAAACCCTAGATTCTTAATTAAATTTGAAAGTGGTCAAGGAAAAGACTTCTAATTCATACATAATAAGTGGAGAACAAGCATGGATTACTAAATATTTCCACACAATCCACTCCAGAGAAATGACAGAACAGAGTACAAATTTTTCCTCATAAGCTAACATAAAAGCCATGAGAAATCAAAAGGTTTCCAAGAACTAGGGTGTGGGGTATGTGTGTGTGTGTGTGTGTGTGTGTGTGTGTGTGTGTGTATGTATATGTCTATGCATGTGTGCACGTGTGTGTACTGTGTGCATGTGTGTATTGACAACATACAGCTGTTGTCAATATTCTTCACTTATTCACCAGAATTTTCTTCTACTTTTTTCAGTATTTCATTTCTTTACAACTTAATATTAAATGCATCACTAACTCAAAATTTCATGAATGTTGAACAAGGACCTAACTTTTGCCTCCACATGCTTCACTAGGAAAACACTAAAGTCTTCCACATTACAACCAGTCTGAACAGTTGCCACCTCACAAATATTTGTCACGTTAACAACTCGCAGTGGAAATCACCGTCCATCAACATCTCTGAAGGCATTAAAGCCAATATAGACTGGGTCTTAGTTAGGGTTTCTGTTGCTGAGAAAAGACACCATGACCACAGAAACACTTACCAGGAAAACAGTTTGAGGGGGCTCACTTGCAGTTTCAGGGATCCAGTCCATTATCATCATGATACGGAGCATGGCAGCATGCAGGCAGACATGGTGCTGGAGGAGTAGCTGGGAGTTCTACATCTTGCAGGCAACAGGAAGTCAACTGAGACTCTGGGTAGTATCTTGAGCATAAAAAACTTCAAAGTTCGCCTGCACAGTGACATGCTTCCTCTAACAAGGCCATACCCATTTCAACAAAGCCATACCTCCTAATAGTGCCACTCCCTAGAAAATTATGGGGGCCAATTACATTCAAACTACCATAGACTGTACTTTCCTTCTGCCAGAACTCATTGTAAACACCTCAAATGGAAGCATCTTCTTTAATTCTTGTAAATGCCTCTTGAGGGCCCCAACATTATTTCCATCTTACAGATGAAGAAAATAATGATTTTCAGAATTACATAGCAAACAAAAGAAGCTGTGAAAAGGGTAATTGTTATTGCTTAACAAACAAATTTGACTTTCATAAAAATTGTAGTGAGCTCAGGACACACACTGCCAGTCACAGGCACCTGAACCCTGAGCATTTTGACTTCTAAACCATCATTGTTTCTACCTATTTGATGCCTATCATTTTTTAATAAGGCTTCTGGCATATGAAAATAGCACTGATCTGCAGGAACTGTAGAGATGGACAGATTATTACTGAAACACTGTGAAATGTATATCTGCCTATTCATCCATCAGTCTACTGAGAGACAAGTGTGGATATTACTTATGAAGAAACCCAAGGAAGAGAAGAATCCTGAGCCAGTGTCTACTTAAAATTCACCTCAAGGATGTCACTGGTTGACAGAGGCAGTTCTTATGACAGTTTCAGGTTGACACCCACAGAAGCAGTCTGCAGTATTATCACAAAACATGCACACATCCTTCCACGGACACACCTGCAGACATACAGCCATGGTTTGCCATGTAGCCAAGATGTCAGGGACACCACGGCCTTTTCACATGCAAGAGAATCTTTGTTGACAATAACTATAAATTGTTTCAAATTCAGCTTCGCAGAGGCTATGGGAGATTTCTACCTCTGTGTATCTTTCTATTTCCATCTCCCCTTTCATACCCAAGTTCCAATGCCAGCAACCAATCCTGGAGTTTTCTTGCTTCCTGAATGCCAGAAAGCAACTTGCCTTCAGTATTTACCTTTGTTTCCAGTTACCAAAGCAAGAATAATCATGCAGACTGTGTTTTGTTTGACTGCCTCTCGTTCTACAGAGATAATCCTTGTGCCCTCTAGTTGGAGACTAGATCTAAAACTACTATGGGTCATGTGTTCAATCACTAAGTAACTATCAGCCCTGAATGTCCTTCTTAGTTCTTGTCTGCACATCTGATGGTCAATCCAGTGGGAAGTATATCTGTGACAAAAGTCACATATGAAATGGTGTCAGTCCTTAACGACTAAAGCTCCTGTTTGAGAAGATATTCACAAGAGTCCTATGCTAAAAAGAAATTTTCCTGAAATTATTAAACACCTTCTCTTTTAAATAGAGATGTTTGGACTTCTCAATTTGGTGTTGGGAGATCATAAAGGGGAAAATCCCAACTCTATATGGAAAAATGAGCCACACTTCTTGACAGAGCATCCCCACAGAAGCAGCGAGGAAAGGAAGAGAAGCCACAGGCTCCATGTCTAAGTTTCAGATTGTTTCCAGAGAGCGTGCTGAGCTGGTACTAAAGGAGACAGCTGTGGATGAGCCAAATGTTTGGTTGGCCTTTCTCTCACTTCCCTCTGCAGTGACATGATCCCTGTATGCTACTCTTGTTCCTTGCCATTCTCATCCTCCTGAAAGATTTTTTTTTTCAGTATCCTACAGGGTGCATTGTGAAGGTATAGATGCCTCCACTGAATATTTTCATAGAAACTAATCCTGTAAATCATCAGGCAGCTTTATAGCAAGGAACTAGGAAGCTCATTCTGGGAAACGGTGCCAGAGCTGTTGGATGGTGGAACCCTAAATCCAACTACCATTTGTCAGCCACACAGCTTCCCACATGCACTCCCATGTGGGAATAGCTCCTGTGTAATGTTTTCTGATATGTGAATAATGGTTAATATTTCTGTATGCCTTGGACATCCTCCAGTGTATGAACTTCAAATATATCCTAAATGTATCAAAGGATAAATGATGCATGATCAAGTATTACATCTGAGTTCATTTAAGCATTATTAATGGTAATAGGTCATGAATAAGCCTATGGCTCTCAAAGAGAATTAACGAATGTGGAAGCTGAAAGAGATCCCATTAAGGCTGGTTCTCTTGGCAACTGGCACAATTCGTCACAAATTAATTAGATAATGATTTTTAAAAAGCTCTAAATCATCTAATGCTAATTCAGAAGGTAAAGATTACAATTACACAGGGGCCCGACAGAAATGGCAAGTAAGGCTTACCCTACCGCAGTGAAATTGAAAAAGATTCTTCCTTCAATAGAGAAGAAATGAGCTGGGAGAGCTATCCACGAAATCCTGAAACTTACAGACTGAAAATGGGGCTTTGGACGGGGTCATTGGGAGCCACACTCAATAAACATAGTCCATGACCTATTTCATTTACATCATTGGTTTTAAATTATATTTGTGTGTGTGTGTGTGTGTGTGTGTGTGTGTGTGTGTGAGAGAGAGAGAGAGAGAGAGAGAGAGAGAGAGAGAGTGAGAGAGTGTGTGTATGTGTGTGTGTGTGTACTCCCATATGCAGATGCCCGTGTCTGTAGGTCCATACGAATGTCTATGCATGTGGACACCAGAGATCTACTTCAAGTGTCTTCTCCAATCAATCTCTACTTTATTTTTTGAGATAGAGTCTCTCATATTTAACCTGCAAATCATTGATTTGGCTAGACATGTTGGCCAATGAGCTCCAGAGGCCCATGTCTCTTCTCCTTCCAAGAACTAGGGTTACAGATGACCACCATCACTACATGCAGCTTTTACGTGAGCTTAGAGGATCCAAACATAGGTCCTCATGCTTATATGAAAACCGACTAAACAAGTATCTGCCTAGACAATAAATCATCATTTTAATGAGTGCTTATACTAAAATGCAAAGAACTGTAGCTTCACCAGCGGTTTGAAAAACTGGGGTGGGGGGGCGATGACTGGATGAGATACTGGAGCCTTATTGCAGCATCAGCAATTGTGACAGGAGAGACTCAGAACTCTGACAGGGGCAAGAAGTGGCTCCCAGGAAGTACAGACATCCCAAAATACTTCTGGAGGCAAAGAGAACAGAGTGGGGGAGAGGGAGGGAATGGGGAAGGGAGGCAAGGGAGAGAAGGAAGGGGGTAGGGAGGGAGGTTAGAGAGGTGAGTTTTGAATTTTCTAAGAATTTACCTCCTGGAAGATCAGCATTTAAGGCTAACTTCTACCTCTTTGGGGGTGACAACTCACAGCGGGGAGCTAGTCAACTCTAGCCTTGTTTTCCTCATGTCTAACCCTGCGATGCTCATGTTCAATGTGGAAGATCCGAGGGGATACGAGAAAAGAATCTAGGGTCACAGGTGTCCACCAATGCTGTGCTTGGGAAACCCTGGCTAACACAGGGCGTTACTGTATGAGCTAGAAACAGTCTTTTCAAGTGAGCACCACTGAAGACTATCCTACCAGCGGGAAGAGGTGCCACACAATCAACACAGGCTTGAGAGGGTGAGGAGCCAGTGAGCTTCTACAGTGAAAACCTGGGGAGAGGAAATGATGGAGGTACCATGTGACAGCTGGCTAATGTCTGAGTGTAGAGTTTATGTCTGATTAGCTTTCCATTTTTTTTTTTTAATGATTCAGACAAAAATGACCAGGAAAGTATCATAGATTCATATTCTACCTGGAAGATCCTTTAAGCCAAAATTTTATTCTCCTCACAGCTGATCTATTTAAAGACTTTTTTTTTTCCACATCGTGTTAATGTCTCAGAAGATAATTTTGAGTGCTGGATATGTGCCACTATACACGTGATTCAGTAGGACAAGACTTCCTTGCAAAATGTGGAAATGTGGAGCAAAATGTGGAGACGCCATCTCATTTCTCAGCCTGGTCTCCCCCAAGCAGTAAGCTGCAAGAGAGCAGGATCCATCCAGTCTCGGTCAGGAGCATCTCCTCAGTACAATGACTAGAACACGGTACATAGCAAACACATGCTTGCTAAATTAGGGAATAAACAAATGCAGGTAGAGCCTCTGCTTCAAATGTCTGTGGCACCTATGACTTAAAACATCCAGGAATTTAGCAAACTGATTTCACAGTGAGCCATTTTGGGTTGAAGCGACCAAGGAAGGCCCGTGGGATAGACCATGGTTCTCCTTGGCAAAAGGAACTTTCTGTGCCACCCTCTCTTTGTGAAATGCACTTGGTTCTTTGCTCTGCCTGGAGAGCTCTTAGCTTGTTCCTCAGGCATTCATTCTTAAGACTCAAACAAAGAAGAGAACGGATTTTTATCTAGGATACCCATACAGCTGCACTGGGAACTTCGGTTTTTAGAAAAGAGAAGATTTAAAGAGCTTGGTAGTTTTTCTCCCTTTAAGTCTTTAGTACAAAGCCTGCTAGTTAGACAATTCTGCTATGATTATTTTAAACAACGTTATGCTAATTAAGAAAGGTTACACCAAGATATTGTATAAATCTCACATTGTTCTTCTAAACACAATTTAAAAATATGTTATGAATATATTTTGTTATTATTTCTTCTAAGAATGTTCCCTTAGAAATACACCACAAAGATAGGCGACTGTAAAATATCCTTCAATATTTACATTTTCCCATTTATGAAGTTACCATGATTGATTTAGCTATTCTGTGTCTCATGGACAGTCACACTGTCCTGGGAGTGTTGCTATGATAAACAAGGCTATGAATTTCTTTTATATGCCCACTGGAATCATGTGTTAAGAGTTTCCTGAAAGTGTAAACATAAATATGGGAAATTTTGTTTGCAGGAAATGAACAATTGCTAAGAGATACTAAATTTTCCAAATTATTTCAACTTATAGCCCACAAACACTCTATGTGAATGTCCACATTTCCACATTTATACTAATACTTGATATTTTCTGACTTGTGATTTTTTCTTGAAAAACTGGTATGCATAATAAGTTATACTTAAACGTTTCATTGTGATTCAGTATTTTCTTCTGTGGTACAAAGGAAAATACTAACGAATACTTTAGTTTTGAGAGCATTTGATTTTTAACTACCAAAATTATTTAAAGAAAATAATAAAAGCCATACATATCCAGATTGGCTTTAATTAATGTGAATGTCAAGATTCTGGTTAAAGGGCATAACTAAGTGACCAGTTCATAGGAAGGATTTACCTGAAGGGTCTCCAACAAATGCCTCAAAACTTGGCAAATCCCCTCCTACCCAAAGAAACAGAAGAAAGCAAGAAAGTTATTCAGGGTACTACTTACAACTCCATTTCGAGTCCAATTTCCAGATTCTGTCCTGGGCTCATTCCTGCCTCCCGTCTCTGGAGGAGGAGGAGTCTGGCTAAGAATCCCAACTCCTTCTTGGACATGCGCTCTGGCCTCACCACTTACCAGCTTCCAGTCCTTGGGAGATACTACAGTTTGCTCATCTATAAGGTGGGGAAGAGAATAGTTCTCTAAGTGTATCGTGAATACTCGTTTGTAAATAGATGTGAGCTTAAGAAGTACGGGCCCAGTATACTATGAGCACTCATTAACTGTGAGCTCCACACACATCAGTGTTATTAGCTAACATGAGCCTTCTTGACTGAAATTTTTTATATATATTTCCAGAAATTGCAAATTCAGGTACTATTGTGTTTTGGTTTATTTGTTTTCTGGGGGATTTCGGTCCTAAATCGCCATCTCAAATGGTATCAAGCACATTTATTTGAATCTACTAGCTTTCTCAAATAACCCCTTGGACTTGAGAAATATCTATAACCTTTAGACCACTTTAAAGAATGAAATAAACTCACTGAAACTGCTTTGGTAACATAATTATTCCAACTGCACACCAAACAGAAGGCTAGAGAAGACCCAGGGTTAGCCGAGAGTGCACATGCTGCTCCTCTGAGGACCACACACAGGACATCAAGAAATAAAAAGCTCAGGCTACAAATAAGCACGTGAGGAGAGAGGGTGTCAACAGGAGAGATGGCGCATGCATTCCTGAACTCAGAATACAGATTAAGTTTGTGACTGACCCAACGGATTGGTACAAACCAGAGCACAGAGAGGCAGAGTTTGTCAGAAAGACTGGGAGAGGTCCCTGGGGCAGACATGGGGGATACAGGGACATGAAAATGGGGAGTAGAGAGAAAAAGAGGGTTGGGAAGAAAGATCAACTGTGGTTCTGAGCTACTGTCTCCACCTTCTTATACTACTGTCTATGGAATGAATGGAACACAGCCAGATATTTTCCCCAAGACAAATAAAACAAACAATACAAATAACAGTACCCGCTTCAAATGGGTTCCCTTATATAATGTCCCCAAGAAACAGACTCTGAAAGAAGTCTTTTTGTGCTTTCAAAAGAGAGTAAAGGAATGTGGGGAACAGGCTTGAGCACACGGAGAAGGTAACAAAGGTCATTGCGGAGTACCAAATGCCTCAGGGAACCCCAGAGGACACCGAGAAGCTGAGCTGGTCCTTTAGGTATTTCTAGAACTGAGGAATGAGGCCAGCTCATTTTCTAGCCCCACCCCACCTCACACACTGGTTCTTGTTGATCTAGATTCAGCTCACCTGAGGAGGGGGCAGGAGACATCTTCAAGAAGGGACTCTAAAAGCGACAACCTGAGCGGCAGGCTGGCAGGGATGAGGCCTCACTGTGGGGAGGAGGGAGGGGGTGCTCCAGGTAGCATGAAAGTAGCACCACCCATAAATTTCAGGAGCCACTCACTGTATCCGTAAAGCAAGAAAGGGATGACAAATGGCTGTAATAAAAAAGCAACGAGAAGAAAGGAAAACATTAATTTAATCCATAAAGTGTTTGCCAAGTGAAACATACTCCACAGACGTGTGTGTAAAGCAAGAAATCACAAGTGAGCAACCAAGAAAGAGATGGAAAAAAACACAACAGAGTTTAAATGAAGAACACCACTGTTAGGGAAAGAGAAACAAAAGCATGAAAAGAAATAAATATTAATAGAATAGAACTTACAGGGATGAAGAGGGGAAAGTCAGAAGATGAACAATATTGACACAAGACTTTTACAATAAAATCCATTGCTAGACACTTGTCCACTTGCAAAATTTCATACCACTGAAAATTCATCTCTTTAATATTAAAGAGAAGACTCTAAAGCTGTGTACAGAGGGACCGGGGACACACAGGAAGGTGATACAAGGAATAAACAGTTTCATCGCCAACAACACATCCATAAAGTGACCTTCGACCTAGACTTTTAACCCAGACAGCATACAAATCAATAATGAGCTCAGAAAACGTTTTCAGATACTTAAAAAATGGAGAAAATTCTCCTCTCACATTTATTTTTAAAAAATTAGTAGTTCCTTAAATATGTGCTCCAAGAAAATGTGGGGATAACCCAAATACAGAGATGAATGAAAAGTCAGAATCCAACTCAAGAAAGGAATGAAAAGATGCAGGAAACCCAGCATTAGTGTTCCTGAATTAAACTCCTCTTTCGCAGTTGTTTTTAATTCTATCTCTTCCTTCCTTGCTCACTTAAGATTTCTTGCCTTACACACACACACACACATACACACACACACACACACACTCTCACACCCCTGTGAAGTACTTTTTACTTGCCAAATACTTTATGTATTAAGTTGTTTTTCTTTCTTCACATTGCTTTTATTACATATAAATTTGTTATTTACTATAAATCCAGAAGGGAGACCTTCTACCAAGAAAGTAGTTCCTTGCTTAGAGAGTATTTTTCTTGTGAGCTGATAAACAAGGGTGGAGAGATGGACTTTTTCTTTTCTTTTACCTTTTTTTTTTTAAAAAAAAATGGAAAACGACAGGAAGAAAACTCCAAACTGTGATGCAAAAAGAAAACCAAGTCATTGGCATACAGTAGATAGTTTTAATCGACAAAAATAAATGCACTTTATTGATTTTAAACTTTTAGTCGACCCTCTCGGACAAAGCACCGGGCATTTAATTAAGGTTACAAAGAAGAATGGAAAAGTTGAAAGGTTGAAAGTAGAGGTGAAGCTCAGAAAAGCAGTTTGGTGTCCCAAGAAAGAAGGGACAAAATGTGGGCCCCTCCGATCCTCCTACACCACGGAGGCAGCCAGGAGATGCTACTAAGTGACTAACCCAGAAGCAGAACCTCGGGGGTATTAAAACACGAAATTAGCTAACAGAGAAACTAAAAGTAAACTGCTTTAAGTATCCGGGAAAGGGGGAAAGTCTCAAATTATTATAAGAGATAAACGCACATCAGAAAATCTCCAGCTAATATTTGAAGTTGACTGGCGACACAGAAGCACATATAGTTTTAAAACATAACATAAACTTCAAAGGAACACAAGTATAAATTCTATAAAGTACCCAATGTTAGTGTCTAGTTGGGAATTGGTCCGAGGGGGCCAGTAGACAATTGCTTATTAATCCTAATGCACCCTTTGACCAGGAGAGCTGGTGGGTGATGCAGGAAGAGATAATAGATGCTGGGTGGGTGGGTGGATAAGTACGTACATGTATGGGTGGGGAGAGGATAAATAGAAAGATCAAAATCAGAACAAAAAAAACTGGGAAAAGACTACAATGTGATCAGTTTCACATCCATTTTGTAACTATTATGAGCCACTTTTAATCCAAAAATTAAAAATAAGAACTTCCTGCTATTACTCTCATAATCATAGCTCTCTTGGGAAACAGCTCAAGACAGCAGCTCTTCACTGAGCACTTCTTGTGAGCTGGGAACAAAGGTCATTTCTGGACAGATACAGGTGTGACTACATCACAGGACTTGCCTTCAAACTCACGGGCCAGTTGTTTACAAAGAGAATACCAAGTTCACAGTAAGTAAAGGGAAAATTAAAGTGCATATTTAGAGTCGGCTTACAAAGGACAGTAATAAAGGCAGTGAGAAGAACGAACAGGTTGATTGCATGACATGGAGCAATCAAGCTGGAGCTCATTTCAAATTGTTGTCCCTGCCAACCAGATTCCAGGGAGCAATGCAAGCTTCCGGGAGAGAAAAGGCATCAACACTCTGACCTAGCTATGAACCCTACAAACTATCAGACCACCATGCCAGACAAGATGTAATGATGATACTCCTGGTATGAATTTGATGACCACTCCACAGGAAGTCATCTGTGTCTGGCACTGTAAACCTAGGGAGGAGAAAGGCATGGCCAGTCAGACACAGACCCCAGGAGGAAACTGAATACTGATTGCCATTTAGCTAAATTGGCCTCAAAGACGGGTGCATGGCTGGATGCCTTCTAAATATTCTTGTTGGTACCCATAAATGAATTCAGAGCAGCCTCCCTTTCCAGTGAATGGTGTCGAGACTTCTGGCTCAACAGTGTGCCTGAGAATGAGTGATGAATGAGGGCTCAGTCCTAAACAAGACGAGCATATAATCCTCTCCAGAACTCCGGAACAATGGAGAGAAGAGAGAAGAAAGAACACCAGAGTGAGAGATAGGAAGAAAGTCTCCAAAATGCTGTATTCTGGGCAAGACACAGACACCGAAACATGAACTCACTCAGCTGTGGGTGTCTGCACTGGGTCTACACAAGCATGGGCCCTGCAACAGTCAGGCATGGATGGAGGGGGGCTCAGGGGATGCTATCCTTCCCTGCTTAACTATTTGCCACTAATAGATTCAGGAAGAGGGAAGTCATTGCCGTTGCTTGCATAATCACTGGTGTCGCCCCCCTCCCAGGTTTCAGAAGACAGTTCCAACACAAGGGTCACATAGATTGTCTTGGTTCAACCAAAAGGGTCATAAAACAAACCCAAATGTCATGAATCTGGGAAAGAGACTGGTGTGAGAGGTAAATAAAAGAGAGTGGAAAAGATAAGAAAAAATGCATAATATACATGCATGAAATTGCCCAAGAAGCAAACTTATAAGAAAGTAATGAATGAAGGGGGGGGGGTGCGCAAAGGGCACAAAGGAAGAAATGAAGGGAGGAGGAGAGGAAGGAAGGAAAGAGGGAGGGAGAGAGAGAGATACAGAGAGAGAGAGAGAGAGAGAGAGAGACAGAGAGAGAGAGAGAGAGAGAGAGAGAGAGAGAGAGGAAATCACTTTCCCAGCCACAGCAGATCTGTTCATTTAGAGTCACAAGAGCCTGGAAAGCTACAGACTTCAGGATGGATTGTGCCCACATTCCCTCTCCCACTTTGCCTACTACGCACCCGGAGCAAGGTACGTAGATCATGTTGAAGTTTTAAGCCATTATTGGAATTAGGACATAGACGGCCACAAAGCACTCGTCTATAACTCAGTGCTGCTGGTGGCCACAGGACAAGATGGCGGGGGAAGACAAAGCGGTCCACTGCACACGGTGGAAAGAAGCTATTTAAAATGCCTTCTCGGAGGAAAGGGCTTCAGATTAAATGGGTAAATTCTAACTTCCTTTTAAAGGGCAGATGTTTCTTCGACAGGTTTCAGTATCTGTGCTGCAGCTATTTTATTTAATGTGCAAAACGAAGTGAGGAGCTATGCCTTCATGGCGACTTTTAATTTAAGTATTTGAAATGAGGCTTCACCTCTTACATCACTTTCTACATGAATAAATTCCCTGTACGTATGACGTGAGAGTAAGCCCAGCTGGAATTGCTTGTTAAGACAGTTATGAATACCAGCAGTCAGCAAAAAGTATAAAAGCCAAGGACACTCTAAACTGATTGATGAGGCCATCAGCATTAACCTATTAAGGATGCTAAAAATAAGTCTATTAACGTTGTCAGCATCTATTTTTTCTACTCTCATTGCAACAAATTCACAGCAAAAAAAGAAAATGATAAAGAAAATTCCATGTGAAACTGGCAGTTCAAGATAACACCACTTAACTGCTTTATAATATTATGCAATTATTTTATGGTAATCAAAAAGCACTTTAGTATGTATATTTGAATGTTTTTCCTTTACCCACGAAGTCACAGTGCCCTTGGAGTATTTACCTTGATTTGAATATTTAGGTTCAAAACAAAAGCTCAGATATTAATTTAGTAATATATCTAAAAAAAATAAAGCCCAATATAGAACACACACGTTTTTCCCAAAGACTCCTAAGAGATCAAGGCAGGAAAAGTGTGACTCTGTTGCTAAGTAGTATAGGTTAAGATCAACTGGAACAGAAAACTGTGAGCTCTAGAGGAGGCAGGCTCTTTGGCCTATGGTGGAAAAGCTATGAAATTACTTAGCGTTTCCAAGCTCCAAGTTCCTTCTCTATGAGGTAGGGATATCTACTTAACAAGTAACTGGTTGAATGAGTGATCTTATGTGAACTGTGAATCACAGCACCTGGCACAAGTAGACAATAAACATTAGTAATTTCTTTCTTTTCTCTCTCTCTTTTTTTTTTTTTTTTTTTTGGTTTTTTTGAGACAGGGTTTCTCTGTGTAGCTTTGGAGCCTGTCCTGGAACTCATAGACCAGGCTGGCCTCAAACTTACAGAGACCTACCTGCCTCTGCCTCCCAAGTGCTGGGATTAAAGGCATGCACCACCACTGCCCGGCCATTTGTAATTTCCTAACTGCTGGGAGTTGATGAAGGAGAAGCATTTGATGCCCCACAGGGTTTAAGAGACTATTGGTGCAAAGTAACCTGAGGTCACTCATCCCCCAAAGAGGTTAAGGCTTGCTTGCTGATTGAACAAAGGATTCCAAATGTTCTAGACAGAAGCCACAAAAGATGTGCTATTATTGTTCATTCCTGTAACAAACCCAAGAAGGAGCCACCGAAGGAAACAGCAAATTTGTGGATCATGGATCTTG